AAAATGGACTTATCTTGAGTTATCTCTTTGCCGAATTCGCCTTTTGATTCGAACTTTATGTGATGTTGCCTACCCATGTAAAAGATGTTAACTAGCTCAGACATTCTGGTATAAAAAAATAATTTAGAATGCTTTTTAGCATCGTATTAGAGGATACAATTCCTAAAGCCTTGTGTCCTAGGATGACACTAACTTGAGCTTCTAAGATTACGGCCGAATTTTTAGGTTTCAATCGTCAAGACATGAGTATGCATGTTGCTTATACCAGATTTTTATACCCTTAATTCCAGACACAACAACAAAGGAAATCTTGCCTCCTACTGGACCCAAGGTGCTGTATGAAGTGCAGCACGGTTGGGAATTCCGTGATGCTGTCGGTCGACCGGTCGACTCGAGTCTCTTGGCAATCGGAGTTTCACAAATGCCGGACGGTCAGCTTCGACTCTCCGGACTGACGGCTCCTCGGTCAGGAGCCAGCCTTCCCATAAAAGTGCGTTGCACTGCCGAGGTGGTGCTTCGAGACAGGCCGTCTAAGGCAGAGGCTGGAGAGTCGGAGGACAGGTCATCTGCTGTTTCGGGACTATGGGTTGGTAGACAACGCCGTCGGCGCATCTTTATGTCAGACTTTTTCGCCCTCATCGTGACAAAAGAAGATGGCTCAACGACTGGCGATACACTCACTGGGCCTGATTCTCCGGATAGTAAGGCACATTTTGTTCGCTTTTTCTTTTTTTCTAAAGAATAAGTCAAATGTCACCGTGCGAGTTTTGAAGGCATCCAGCCGTCAAAAGATGAATGTGAGAAGCTAAATCATGTTTTATAAGACTAGGAAAGAGAGGGGTTTCTGCAAAGTGGTACAACTATTGAATTCCATAAAAAGATATTTGTTAGCTTAAAACCCTTAAACTATTAAATTATTTACTGTTTTTTCAATGTATAAAGCGATACAGAACTATGAATTTTTTATATCAAGTATTGGATAATGACACAGACGATACAGATACAGAGGCATGAAGAGGTATATGCAATTGAGGAGGAGTGATACATGATGATAAAGCTAGTTTCATCACCTACCCAATAAACTCATAATCTCTTAATCCCAAACAGATAATAGCTTCGTCGCTTGACCGAATGTACTGTACTAAACTACTGCCTAAATTATATATTTTTAGATGCATACAGCTTCGCTGGCACCAAAGAGCCAACTTTATGGAAGCTTGGTTCTACAACTATAAACATGACGCTAAGCCTATTTAATATTTTGTACTAATGTATTAGGGAGTTGGCTATTAGTAAAATTTAAAAAATGTAACCTCAGTTTTAGGAGGAACAGGAGCAGTGTGAATAAAGAGAGTTTGAAGATAGAAGCATTAAAATCTGTTATCAGATACTCTATCGGATACTAATAGCATTAAATGTCCCTATTCAACTCGTGTGGCAGCTCAAAATATGATTCATACATGGAACTACCAAATGCTATTCCATTCTTAAACTTCGAGGAGAGCTAGAAGGCATGCACAATCTGAAAGTTTTTGCTCACCATGTTATCTCATGCAATAGGTCTGGCAGAGCCTTATTTACATTATAAACTTAAATTGACAGTAAACTAGTTTGACACATTGCAGTAATTCACTTTAATTTTCCGACATTTTTAGTTCCCGGAAATCGTATAAAGGTTATGGTTGAGGGACTCAGACCGGATGGATCCCTAAGCACGCAGCCTGGTGAAAGTATGACGCTGAAATGCTTAGCTATTGGTATGCCCTCTACTATTTTTGTCAAACTATTCTCTGCATAATTAATTATACTGGCTCACTTACAATGGTTTTGAGTGAAAAACAAGTTTCTTTGAACCGTTTTTAAACTATAACTATCCTCATATTTATATAATGCTTATAAAAGTTAAAAGATGCCTACACTAAATAGGCAAATTCTTAGGTTTTATTTGTCTTAACTTTGGATAAGTACTTGAATATGCATGACTAACAACTACTCATGATTTCGTTTTATATAGAATTCTTTAATCCGTACCATAAACATTCATTTGTTTCCGAGATACTTACCTTAATCACTTATATTCTGACAAATATATATATATATATATATATATATATTGTCCAAATTTAATATAATGATATTTATAACATCTAATTCGTGCGGAAGGCAAGTCAATATTAAGACTTTATGATT